GGCTATGGGGGGCACAGGGGGGGTCATAGGGGCTATGGGGGGCACAGAGGGGGGGTCATAGGGGCTATGGGGGCCGTGGCCACTCTGGGGGCACACTGGGGGTGCAAAGACTGTGGTGGTCAATAAGGGCAGGGGGGTTTGGGGGCTGTGGGGTCCCCCCCAGCCGGGTGCCAGTGCCACGTCCCCCCAAGGTTATTGAGGTGCCACGTCCCCCCAGGGTTAATGTTTAACCCCCCCCGGGCCCAGCTGGGCACTGGGTGCCCGTTCCCAGTGGTGCCCTTGGGCAATCCCGGTACCGGGGGGATTTAAGGGCGGCAGGTGCCCTGGACACCCAGACCGAGCCATGGCTGCGATCCTGAGCCTCGTCCTGCTGCTGGTGGCCGGCGGTGAGATGTCCCCTGCCCACTCCCCGTGTGCCCAGGCTCGGGGGGTGCCCGGGGGGTGACAGTGGCCGTGTCCCACAGGTGCCCGGGCCGCGGTGCTGCCGGATTCCCGCGTGGTGAACGGGCAGGATGCGGAGCCCTACAGCTGGCCCTGGCAGGTGAGGGGGCAGGGCACGGCACGGGGACACCCGTGAGGGTGCGGTGACACCCGTGGGTGTGCGGTGGCACCCACCAGTGTGTCCCCCCCCGCCCCAGATCTCGCTGCAGTACGAGCGGGACGGCGCCTTCCACCACACGTGCGGGGGCTCCCTGATCGCGGCCAACTGGGTGATGACGGCGGCTCACTGCATCTCGTGAGGGCACCGCGGGCACCGGGGGGCTGCGGGAGAGGGGGGCGTGGGGCTCAGGGTGCAGGGATGGATGTAGGGGGGATGCGGGGTGCACGAGGGGTGCAGGCATGGTGTTGGCAGAGGGTGCAGAGGGTGCAGGATGGAGGGATGGGTACATGGAGAGGGTACAGGGGGGTACAGGAGGGTCCTGGGGTGCAGGAGGGATATAGGAGGGATGTGGGGGAGGGTAGTAGGGGTGCAGCAGGGGTACAGGGGGTGCTGAGGTGCAGGAGGGTGCAGGGTGCAGGGAGGGGTGCAGGGATGGGTGCACAGAGAAGCTGCAGGAGGGTGCTGAGGTGCAGGAGGGTGCAGGAGGGGCACTGGCAGGTGCGAGTACACCTTTGCAGAGGGTGCAGGGGGGCACAGAAGGGTCCTGGGGTGCTGGAGGGATGCAGGGGGGCGCAGTGGGGTGCAGGGTGCAGGGATGGGTGCATGGAGAAGGTGCAGGAGGGTGCTGAGGTGCAGGAGGGATACAGGGCTGGGTGTAAGTGGGGTGCAGGAGGGGTGCAGGGTGGTGCTGGGGTGCAGGTTGGGTAGATGGATGTAGGGGGGATGTAGGGTGCAGGAGGGGTGCAGGGTGCTGGGGTGGGTGCAGGGGGGTGCAGAATGGGTGCAGGAGGAGTGTAGGGTGCTGGGGAATGCAGAAGGGGTGGGTGCAGGGGGGTGCAGAAGTGGTGTGGAGGGTGGAGGGTGCAGGGTGCAGAGTTGGGGCATGGAGAAGGTGCAGGGGGGTGCTGAGGTGCAGGAGGGGTGTGGGGTTCAGGGATGGGTGTAAGGGGGTGCAGAAGAGGTGCAGGGGGGAGGCTTTGGGTTCATAGAATGGGGGTTACAGTACCGGGATGAGGTTCAGAAAGCAGGGAGGAGTTTTGGGTTCATCAAGAGGGTTTTGGGCTCATGGAAGGGTTCCAGGTGCAGGGCAGAGTTTTGGGTACAGGAGAGGGTGTTTTGGGTACAGGGAGGAGTTTTAGGGTGCAGGGAGGAGGTTTTGGGTTCATAGAGAGGGGTTTGGGTTCCTGGAGGAAGTTTAGGGTTCAGTGGCAGGGGTTTTGAATGAAGGGAGGGGTTTGAGGTGCGGGGAGGGGGTTTAGAGAGCAGGGACGAAGTTTGGGGTTCATGCAGGGGGGTTGGGGTTCATGGAGGGGTATTTGGGTTCATGGACATGGTTCAGGGTGAAGGAAGGGGTTTTAGGATGCAGTGAGGGGGTTTTAGGTGCAGTGAGGAGGTTTTGGGTTCATGGAGGAGGTTTTGGGTTCATAGAGGGGCTTTGGGTGTAGGGAGGAGGTTTTGAGTGCAGGGAGGGGGGTTGGGGTGCAAGGAGGGGTTTCGGGGTGCAGGGGGGCTGCCGGACGGTCCCCACCGCCCCCGACCCGCCGGTCCCCGGCAGGAAATCGCGCACGTACCAGGTGGTGGTGGGCGAGTACGACCTGAGCGCGGGGGAGGGCTCCGAGCAGACCATCCCCGTCAACTCCGACGACATCTTCGTGCACCCCAAGTGGCTCAGCTTCTGCGCGGCCTGCGGGTGAGCACCGTCCCCTGGGAGGGGGGGATCCTGGGGGCACCGTGACCCCCCGGTGACCCCGGGCGACCTCCCGGTGACCCCCCGGCCGTGTCCCCGCGCAGCAACGACATCGCGCTGCTGAAGCTGCAGCGCCCGGCCGCGCTCTCGGCGGAGGTGCAGCTGGGGCGGCTCCCGCCCGCCGGCTCCGTCCTGCCCGACGGGTACCCCTGTGTCATCAGCGGCTGGGGCAGGACCAGCAGTGAGCGCGGGGAGGGAGGGGGAGAGGGTTGGGTGCTGGGGAGATGGCTGGGGAGGAGCGGGGAGGGATGGGGAGATGGTTGGAGAGGTGGATGGAGGATGGGAGATGGTTGGGAGTTGATGGGATGGTTGGGGGTGGATGGAATGGTGGAGGGATGGGATGGTTGGGGAGGTTGCATGGAGAGGTGGGGACATGGTTGTGGGGTGGATGGGATGGTGGAGGGATGGGATGGGGAGATGGTTGGGGAGGTGGGTGGAAGGATGGGAGATAGTTGGGGAGGTGGGTGGAAGAATGGGAAATGGTTGGGAGTTGATGGGATGGATGGAGGTGATTGGATGGCTGGAGGGATGGGGGAGGGAGAGATTGGGAGATGGTTGGGGGTGGATGGGATGGTGGAGGGATGGGATGGGGAGATGTTTGGAGAGGTGGGTGGAAGTATGGGAGATGGCTGGGAGTTGATGGGATGGATGGAGATGATTGGATGGCTGGAGGGATGGGGGAGGGAGAGATTGGGAGATGGT